GTGGCCTGGACCTAAGTTTAGGTTTCCCCCGAAATGGTAAGATTCCCTACCCCATCAGGCCACCTGGAGCCAGCCAATCAACATGCGCCCAGTAAGAAAAAGGGAACCTATCAGAGGAAAGTTGAAAAAGCCCGCGAATGCCCAAGTTTGAAAAAAGCCCGCAAAAGTTTGGACCAATAAAATTGCTTTGCAAACATGTAACCAATCCGCATAAGCCAGCTACCAACTGCTTATGCTCACCCTATAAATTTGTGTAACAGCTTGGGCTCGGAGCTCTCTGACCCCGCACCACTGCGTTGGATGCGGCAGGAGCCCTGACTCGAGTCAGCAATAAACTTCTCTTTTTGTGAGTTGAATTATCTTGGAGGCTTTCTCTTTTCCCGCTCGGGGATTCAGACATCGGGCATCACAGGATCTGTCAGGAACCCTCTGGCCCTTAATGATTCCTGAATATTCAGGAATTAAGAGGAGAGGCACGCCTTTCCCGGGGCTGAGGAATCCAGGCATTTCTCATTACAGAGATAAGTACCCTCTTCCTTACTATGAGCCAAATGGTAAAAAGTGATCATTTGCAACTCTGTCTTTGATAGGGATCATCTTATGTGTTGTAAGTCTGGAATTTTAATCTTTATCTTTGCTGAGAATAACCACCTTGTAAGGCAGTATATGTGCCCACGCCATGTTGATTAAAACACCTTTGCCCCATCAGAGCTTTGGTCCCCGTGTCTTTCTTTCTTTCTTTCTATTCCTCCTCTCTTTGTCTCTCTCTCTATTTCTGGCTAATTCCTTGGAGCACGGAGGCCCGCTGAGCCCACTTTCTTGCCCGGGCTTCTAAGCCCCTCTCGAGAAGGCGCACTGTGCCTTCACCCACCCGAGAGGCGCCCGGTGCCTCCGCGCAGCGCGAGCCCTGAGAACGGGGCTCTATTGGCTTTCCGCGTAAACCAGGGGATGTCAGCCTCTTTCTCTCTCTTACTCTCCGGACCACCGGGTTCCAGTCCATTAAAGGACCAACAAGCTCTATCAGCCTCTTTCTCTCTCTTACTTTCTTATCGTCGACTCCGGACCACCAGGTTCTGGTCCATTAAAGGACCAACATGTAAGCAATGTATCCCAACTTAATATAGGACATATATGACAAGCCCACAACTTACATTATACNGCTATCAGCCTCTTTCTCTCTCTTACTCTCCGGACCACCGGGTTCCAGTCCATTAAAGGACCAACAAGCTCTATCAGCCTCTTTCTCTTTCTCTCCGGACCACCAGGTACTGGTCCATTAAAGGACCAACAGCTGACAAATATTATTCTCCTTTTAGGATTTCATAAGAGTGGTTATACACAGTTACAGAATCCAATTTCCCACAATATCCTTAGATCGTTTTCTCTGTGTCAATCTCAGAGGCACCTAGAAGAACACATACTCACAAGTTCAAATCACCAATCTTCTTACATGTGTGCACTGGGATGGTAATATATAATCGCACATGCAATTATAATGAAGTTGTTTCCAATAAGACAGAGGACAAATATTATATCAGCAGATGGGCAAAGGCAGGATGCAATTCCCTTGTGTAAAGGAAATAATAACAAACATATCAAAGGATGTAATGATATGCAACAGTTTATTTTCTCCAGCTTTCAATGGCTTCTAAATGCATGAATATTGGACAAAGTAGGAAGTGCCAATTCCAGAATTCCATTTCCAGGATATACTGAGACTCCTAATTTCTATTCACAAAGCTGAAAGAGAGAGAAGCAGAAACAGAGCTTCCTTTCTAATAAGAGCTAATCCTAATATTTAAATCACTTTATAGGAGATTCCATGGATTTTTTTACTCAGATAAATTTCTTACTTCTATAAATCACCTTGGTGGTAGTCAACTTTGACCAACAATATTAGGCAACTCCCTATATACAGAGTCAACTACCTAATGTATATAAACTGGACCATACAGGCATTTAAAAAAAAAATGAGGTATAGTCGATTTAAAATGTGCTAGTTTCAGGTGTATAGCAAAGTGATTCAGTTATACATATGTATACATCTATTTTGCCAGATTATTTTCTCTTATAGGTTATTACAGAATATTGAATATAATAACCTGGGTAATATAGCAGGTTCTTATTGGCTATCTATTTTACAGAGAGTAGTGTGGATCTGTTAATCCCAAACGTCTCATCTATCCCTCTCTCTGGTCCTTTCTCCTTTGGTAACCACAAGTTTGTTTCATATGATTCTGGGTATATTTCTCTTTTGTGTATAAATTCATTTGTATCAATTTTTCAGATTCCACATGTAAGTCATATCATATGACAATTGTCTTTCTCTGTCTGGCTTACTTCACTTAGTATGACAATTTCTAGGTCCATCCTTGTTGCTGCAAATGGCCTTATGTCATTCTTTTATATGGCTGAGTAATATTTCATCTTATGTTTTACACAAGAAAAGATTGTTGACTTTGGGAGGATACTTATTGGCTTGTGATGTAAGATTTCCCCATAGATGCATTGTAATTATTATTATTTTCGTTACAAAATCAGTCACAACAAGTAGGGAGGTCTGAAACTGTCACGATCCTTTCTATGGGATAGTCCAGATGAACATACAGTTAGTTTGTACTCATATTTCTGTCTTCTTGCTTGCTTCAAGTGCACTAACCTAGTCTGTGTGTTCAGAGCCAGTTCAGGCAAAATCTTGGGTAAACATACTTCTCATTACTCATGACCATTATGTATGACCACTTTGAGCTTACTTCCCCTATCTGTAAAGTAAAGGATTTGATCTTCTTTGTCATTAAAAAGGCAGACAAAAATTAGCCTGCCTGGCATAACTTTCCACAACTATATGAGCTAATCATGAATGTTTCACATACACAGAGACAGAATCAGAGTAAGAGTCTTTCATGAACAAGTGTGATGGAAGTCTTCAGGCAAGGCTCTTCATCTTCATTTTAGAAGGCAGGAGTGGATGAAGTAAGCAACTTTGAAACCAAGTTTAATTGCAGGAAAAAACCCTCTAAGCTAGAATTATTATTTTAATAGTATTAGATTTCTGGAGACAATGTACTAAATTAAAAGAATGTTAATCTGTCAAAACTGATGTATGACAGTTCTCTTTTTGTATGACAATAAACACAGTATTTAAGTCTATAACAATATTTCCTTTCAATAAAGTGTGAATAGAAAGTACTTCAACATAATGAAAGACATTTGTGACAAACTCACAGGTAACACTCTCCATAGTGAGAAACAGAAAGTCATTCCTGTAAGAACAAGAACAAGATAAGGATGTCCACTCTTGGCACTCTTAGTAAACAAAATATTGGAAGTCCTAGCCAGAGCAATTAGGCAAGAAGAAGAAGTAAATTTCATTCAAATTGGAAAGAAGTGAAATATCCACTATTTGTGGATGACATGATTTTATACACAAATTACTCTATCAACTTCACCATGATAAATGAATACAGTAACATTGAAGAATACAAATTTGATGTTTAAAAATTTGTTGCATTTCTATATGCTAACAGTGCCTGAGCAGAAAGAGAAAGTAAAGCAACCACACTATTAGCAGTCTCAACAAAATAATAAAATGAATTTTGCAGTAAATTTAACCAAGGAGGTTAAAGACCTGTACAGACATTTTTGAAAGAAATTGATGAATACACAAATAAATGGAAAGGCATTCTGTGTTCATAGGTTGGGAGAATTAACACTGTCAAAACGTCCTTATCACCTAAAGCCATCTACATATTCAGTGTTATTCCTATCAAACTCCAAGGAATATTTTTCACAGACATAAAACAAAAAAATTTAAAATTTATATGGAATCAGAAAAGAACCATTATCCACAATATCCAGCTATCTCACTTCTGGGTATTTACTGGGAAACACAAAATTAACAAGAAAACCATTTGAAAAAGTATATATATACTCACAGCTAATTTAGGTAAAATCTTGGGTAAACATATTTCTCATTACTCATGACTGTTATATATGACCACTTTGAGCTTACTTCCGCTATCTGTAAAGTGAAGGATTTGGTCTTCTTTATTATCAAAAATGCTAACTTGCACTGGCATTAACTTTCCACAAATATATGAGCTAATCATGAACGCTTCGCACACAAAGACAGAACCAGAGTAAGAGCCTTCCATGAACAAGTGTGATGGAAGTCATATATATATATATATATATATATATACACACACAAAGGCTTCTATATATATATAGAATATATATAATCCTCCCTTTTAGAATTAGTTCTTTCTTCTTCAGATATAGTTATAGATTTGCTTTTATTTTAAAAAATATTGCTAATATATCATATGGTAGGTCAAAACAGGTATATTAAATGCATAGTTTTTTATGTTTACTTAACACTTCCATTAACTTTCAGTTATAACTCTATCACACATTTTAGTATGATTGTAATATTTTACTAATATAAATATGCTTACATTGCTTAATATTATAAATATAAAATATAAATATGTTTCAATGTATAAGGTATAAATAGACAATGCGCAACACACAATTGCAGAACAAAGAACTTTAGGGCCTTAAATACAATAATAATGATTATAATAAGCATATTTATAAACAACAGCATAGATTTTGTTTCATACACAATATAATTCATTACACTGACATTTTTATGTAGTAGCATTGGTGCCACTTCATATTTTTAAACAGAAGAAGCAAAAAATTATTAATATTTAGTTGCACTTTTAAGAGATGTCCTTAAAAATTGATTTAATTAAAACAAAATCTTCATAATTTCTTCTTCTGTGTTATCTACTGGCTAAATGTATGCTCCAAGTAGTTCTGTATTCATACAAGTGAAATTATTTGAATAGGAATCAGAGCTTCAGTGTTGCAAATGTAAAATCTAGAGCTCTCTATTTCAGCGAACAAACGAACATAAGAAAGCAAACAATTGCACTAAAAATTAGTATTTCTCAGACTGAATTTGTATTATTTGAAATAAGATAGATGAGAGCTCAAGATGGATCCTTCAAGTGAAAAATCTTGGACACTTGATCTCGAATCTGTTTGGTCTTTACACCATAAACAATAGGATTGAGAAAAGGTGGGACAAGCAGGTAAAGATTGGACAGAAGAATGTGAATGTAAGATGGAATATGGAACCCAAATCTGTGTGTAAAGGAGGAGAAGAAACCCAAGAGATAAAACACAAGGAAGACGCAAATATGGGCAATGCAAGTGTTAAAAGCTTTGAGTCTAGCTTCCTTTTGAGGCAGTTTGAAGACAGTTACAAATATTCGAATGTAAGAGAGTGTGATGAAGATTATATCAAATCCAAGTATAATGAAAGCCACAAAAAGACCATAAATCTTGTTGATTCGAGTGTCTTCTGCTGCCAGCTTCACAATAGCCATGTGCTCACAAAATGAATGGGAGACCACAGTGGTCCGATAGTGTTTCAGTCGGCATTTGATGAGGATGAGACACAGAGCTATAAGGACACTTGCTCTGAGTGTCACCCCAGCCCCAATCTGAGTGAGGAGTTTGTGGGTAAAAATAGCTGCATGTCTCAGAGGATCACAGATTGCCACATAGCGGTCCAAGGCCATGGCCAGCAGAATACCTGACTCAGTACACTGGAAGGTATGGATGAGCCACATCTGAAAGAGAGAGGCATCAAAAAGTATTTCTGGTGAATGGAACCAGAATATCCCTAACATTTTGGGTAGGATACAGGTACTGAGAGCAATGTCTGTCACTCCAAGCATTGCCAGGAAGAGATACATGGGTTCATGGAGGCTGTGCTCAGATTTGATGATGACCAAGATTAGAAAATTTCCAAATAGAGCAACGATGTACATGGCACAGAAGGGAATGCCGATCCAGAACTGCACAGACTCCAGGCCAGGGATCCCAATCAGTGTCAGCGCTGAGGGCATGAAGACTGTACCATTGAACTGGAGCATGTTGGCTTGGAATTGCTGGGTTTAGAGATTCTGATTCAAGATGGCAGTTTGTACTGAGTGCCTTTCTTATTTTCTGTTTTTACCTAAATTCACACCATCAGTGGTTAAATGTGGTTTAAAATGGCATTTTGACAGACATATTCATTTTTTTATAGAACAGTTAGATTTATCCAGAAATACAGATACAATCTCCCTGAATGATGTATCTCAAATTTCTGCTTCTGTTTTCTATTTCTCTCTTTTTCTATTATATATATAGAAACATATACACTCTCAGAGGCATACAAATACTCACCATAGAGAGAAGCACTCCTTCTAGTCAATGTGAATTCTTACGGTTTTTGCATGATTAGTTAAACACTATTTCATTGAATGCAGTTTGTTCTGCTAAGCTAGCAAGTTCTGAGAACATAAATTCTGTGTAACATAACTGTTTTTTTAAAATTTTTTAATCAAAAAACTTATAATTCATTCAGGCAGTCTAGTAGAAGTAAAATAATAGTAATGATAATAACAGACTTTTAGAAGTTGCTCTAGATCTTGGGAAAATAAATTATGAAGTGGCGTAGTCAAAGAAGACATAGGCAATGATCTAAATGTGACAATTATAGAAGACAATTAGTATGCTAAGTATGCATATGTTACATATAAGGGTGTAACAAGTATTTAAAATCTGTCTTTATTCCAAAGTTGGAACCCAGGTACATTTTTTAAGAAATATGGATAAAATTAGGTATTTTAGAGATAATAACATAAAATAAAATGTAACATGACAATAAAGAAATAAGGCAAACATATTGGGATAAAATGTGATACATGAATCACATGCAAATTTATTTCTACAAATTTAAACTGGGAAAAAATTTTACCTGATTCAATAATATCCAAAAACTGAAAGCTACTATGATTATTTCTCAAGTTATCAAAATCTGAACAATCAATAACATCTATATTTCAAATATATACCAAAATTTATTTTATCAATATTATTCTAGGAAAATAAATCAGAAAGTATCAAAACCATGAACATAAAACTTTAAATTACTATATATTGAATAAGTAACTATATTTATTCAGTGAAATTCAGTTTATCATGTGATTCCCAATGAGAAATAACCAGTGTTAATATATTTATTACAAATCACCTTTGGACACTATCATACAACTCTGTTTTCTGTCTGTCTGCTCCATTCATTCTGCTATGGTAGTGATTTGTTGTTGTTCTAGTCATTAAGTCATATCTGACTCTTTGCAACCTTTTGGAGTGTAACACACCAGGTACCTCTGTACATGAGATTTCCCAGGCAAGAACACTGGAGTGGGTTGCCATTTTCTTCTCTAGAGGATCCTCCATCCCAGGAATTGAACCTACGTCTCCTTCATTGGCTGGTGGATTCTTTACACTGAGCCACCAGGGAAGTCCATGGAAGTATTAGTGTATGTTATAAAAGATATTTGGGGGCAATTTCCATATGTAAGCATCATTTAAATTCCTCGGATGTTTATTTTCCTCTCACATATTGAAAATAGGAACATCATTCATATGACTGTTTCTCCAAATATTTCCTAGAACCCTGAACATCAACCCAGTATGACACTTACCTTTTACTCATACTGGTTGATCACAGATTCTCTTCTTCCAATAGGGTTGCACAAAATTATCTGCAGGATCACGGAAATCCACTTGTAAATGAGCCCAAAATGCAGTGTATTATTATACTATTCCCTTAGTCCTTTAGAGCGGCAATTCAAATGCTTATTTGCTTGCTTTTCTAAATCACTATCCAACTTTGTTGAGGAAGGAATACAAGAATCTCTGTGGCCATTTCTATCCCTCATTAAACTTTCATTTTCAATTCCCTATACACTCACAAAAGTTTAATACAAGGTCCATATTGTCTTAGTTTACCATTGCTGCTTTTACTACATTTTCCTGATTCACATTCTTCTCAAACTTTATATTCATGGTATAACATATTAGCTATGCTTTTTCCCCTGACACAATCTCCTTGCTTCTGGGGTTTGCATGGGGTTTGCAAAGAGTTGGAAACAACTGAAGTGAATGAGCACAGCACAGCTCATTATCATTTCTTTACCTTTGCTCTGTCAAATTGTATATATATATATAAATACATATATATAAATAAACCATATAGGTTTATTATTATTAGCTTTCCCTCAAAACATGTATTTTAATCATGCATTAATTTAGCAGTTATTTCCCTTATGATAAAATATATTTCAGGTTTATACACATTTGTTTTAATAGGTGCTGTGATCTCATTGTGAAATATGCTATAATCCTGAATGAATACCCATGACTTGCTATAATTTTTTAAATCAATTTAAGTGATTTTTAAACCATTGCCATAAGACTTTTTCTCCATAATTCTTGAAAGTTCATATATTTAAAGAAAATTCAAAATTATACTCTACCCAAATACAATGAACTTTTTAAAGGACTCTTCTATGTTGATTATTTGTGCAGTGCTTAAAACTATTTTATCTTTAAAAGAAAAGTTTTGTTTCTATAATCACAGTCTATCTTTTTTTTTTCCTTCAGTCTCAAGACACCCTCCTCCTTTGTTGCTTTATCTGACTCCCTTTATTTTGTTGATGCCCTGAATTCCATTGAAACCCATATTCTTCCCCATGGTTCTTTTTCTTCTCATTATATACGGCTCTCTACCCAGACATTCTGTTCAACTTCAGAGTTTCACTTACAAATGACTATGACTAAATAAATAAACATACTTCAATAAATCTAACCTGAACACAGGACACATATGCTTAATTGCCTCTTATGCAGCTCCACAGGCTTCCATGGTGGCTTAGAAGATAAAGAATCTGCCTGCAATGCAGGAAACCCAGGTTGATCCCTGGGTCGGGAAGATCCCCTGGAGAAGGAAAGGGTTACCCACTCCAGTATTGTTGCCTGGAGAATTCCATGGAGACAAGAGCCTGGCCAGCTACATACAGTCCATGGGGTCACAAAGAGTTGGACGCTACTGAGGAACTAAACGTTCATGCAAGGAGTTTCAAGTTGGTGAAGTCTCTCTATTTCAGGGATCAGGAAGAAGCCAAATTGGATTTGGTCTTTAAATTCAATTATCTTTATCTGATCCAGCTTTGCCTGTCCTGTAGTCAGTAAACTTCAATAGGATTTACACAAAGGTGTTTTATTTTATATAATTACATACAGGAGGAAACCCCCCCTCAGCTCATCTAGAAGAAAATTGGAAAACCATTCATTCCATCAGACCCAGTCACACATAAAGCGACTAAATGCTTAGCAACAAGAGAAACAATTTTCATATATATATTAATAGTAAGCCAATTTTAATACAAGATCATCCTAACAAATTTATCAGCTATAATGAAATATATGCTAGAATTCTGCAAACTAATTTAGAATTCTAGTTGTACTTACTAGGCTTTCCTCTGCTTGTTATATTTCCTTTAGGTTTCCTCCTACACTTTTTTTGTCTTTCCCATCAGACAAATACCATTGATTATTAAACATTCAGCCCAATCATTACCTCCTCTATGAAGAGTCTCATGATATTCTAAGTAAAATTCAAAAGTATTTGTTTCTGGCCTTAACATGTGACTATTTATTGAAAAATCTAGGAGAAATGCAATAGTATTTTATTTTCCTCAGACATGTTTAATATCAAAAATATGCAAAACAATGCACTTGCAAATTTATTTGCCCTGTTTTCAGATGTATATCTGCAAGGAGAAGGGGATGAATTAAGACAGGTAAATAACTAGTCAAAGAAAAATATTAGGAATCTATTACCTTAGTATATAAGTTCCCTCTGTTTTTATTTCAGTATTATTTTTAATACACAAGGTAGGATATATACTTGCTTTGGTTGAAGATATGAAGAGATTCATCAGGGGTGAGAAGGGGAAAGAAATGAGCAAGATGTTAACCTGACCAAGAGGAACTCAGATGATTTATTCTTCTCCTCCTGTCTTAGGTGAAATCCTGACAACTAAAGTAGTATTCTCTTCTTGCCATTTCATAAGAGAATCTCTTTATACACAGTTATAGAGTCCAATTTCCCACAGTCTCCTTAGATCCTTTCTCTATGTAGAGCTCAGAGGCACCTAGAAGAACACATACTCACAAGCTCAATTCTTCCGTCTTCTTGCATGCATGCACTGGGATGGTAATATAATTGCACATTCAGTTATAAAGAAGCTATTTCCAGTGAGATAAACAGAGGAAACATATTATATGAGCAGTTGGGCAAGGGCATGATGTAATTCTCCTGAGGAATGGATTTAATAACAAATCATAAACAATAGCATAATTTTTCCAGCTTTCAATGGCTTCTAAATGCATGAATATTGGACAAAGTAGTAAGTGTCAATTCTAGGACTCTATCTCCAGTATAATCTGAGACTCATAATTTCACTTCACAAGGCTGAGAAAAGTGGAAATAGTGATAAGAGCTGACCCTAATACTTTTGAAATCTCTTTTCTAGGAGATTCCATGGATTTGTTTTTTCTTATTTCTAGAAACCACCTGGTGGTAGTCAATTTTGACCAGTCAATATTAGATAATTCCCAACATACAGGATCAACTACCCAACATGTCAAATAAACTGGGTCTTATAGGTATTTTCTAAAAATTATAGTTTAGTTGATTTAAAATGTGATAGTTTCAAGTAAATAGCAAAGCAATTCAGTTATAGATAAACTATAGGTCTTTTTTCCACATTCTTTTCCTTTATAGGTTATTGCAAATTATTGACTATAGTGCTCTTGGCTATACAGAACTCCTTGTTGTTTATGTATTTTATATTTAGCAGTGTGTATATGTTAATCTCAAACTGCTAATTTGTCCCTTTTCCTTTCTCCTTTGGTAATTATAAGTTCATTTCTGTGTCTCTAGAACTATTTCTGTTTTGTATATAAGTTCATTTTTTAAAGATCTCACATATAAGTGATATCATATGATATTTGTCTCTCTTTGTCTTAGTTCACT